CCCACCAATTCATTGATTGGGGCACATTAGAACCTGGAACACACTGCTGGTCCCTACCCCAACTGCTAACAGTATGAGAACACATATTTTTCCTTTTTTGGGGTGGGGAGGTTAAACCACCACTTTTCTAGCCTACACTTGGTTTTTACTTACTTTCAACAGGTTATTTCAGTGTAGGGAGGATTTCATGCTTTGAAATGTATCAGGTTTCCCAATAGTAGAAAACAAAACCCAGAAAAAAATGAATCATTTTTCAAAGGTGACAGAATCCACTGATGTCTCCGGGTTAGGTGTTTGTGTTTCACTATAAAGCAATAACTATATGTCCACTGGTGCCTGGCTTTAATCCACAGATGAATAAAAGTTGTTGGAGCAGAGACTGGGAATAGGATGGTCAAAGAGTAGAGAGTAGTGCTAGTCCTCTGTTCTCACATTGCACATGATCTCCTCAGGGCATCTGGCCTTTCACTAACCTGAACTTGTGCACAGTACAGTGTATAAAGAGACAAAATAAGCTGGTAACACTTTCAAACATGGGTATTGAACTTGTAAAATGTAGGTTGCAGAAAGACTAAATATTTTTAGACAGTTTAAGCCTCCAGAACCCCTTTTCCTTGCTCCTTTGTGAAACTTGAGGTGGCCTATCACCCTGGGAGTGAGGTGCGTGGTTCCTTGCCTTTGGCAGTTCTCCAGATGGTCTGGATTCCAGTTTCCTCCAGCCGTGCACACTAATTGTATTAACTGGGCATAACCCCCACTGCTTCCCCTCCAATGAGAGGTGGAACGAATACCTTCTCCAAGAAACTGCCTTCTTATTACTAGGCAGTAGTGCCTAGGCACTTTGGACTTCCATTGACTCACTCATATATTAATTTAATAAAAATCTGTTAAACATCTAGTAATGCTGGTAAGGAAGAGAGAGAGGATTGCTAGCTTCATGGGTGACACATGCTAGTGGGAAGATAGAAAAAATCATGTTAACAAATAAGAATAAGTTTTGTGTCACAAATAAAATGAGAGAATAAAAAAGACAGAGGGAGGAATTTTTGTTTCTGGCCTTGTGCACTACATGTTCACAGAAACCTTTTCTACCAAAGTACAACCCAAATGACAAAATAGAAAAGATGTTTTAAAAAAATAAACTGATGACCAGGCAGGGAAATAAAGGAATTCTGTGCAACCTAAAAGTGACCATAAACCTTGGGAGGGGTATCTTTAGATTTGGTATTTGCCCTCAGGGTAAATCTCACCTCTGGTGGCCTAACTCCTGGGTTTTAACTTGTGTCTTGTAGAAGAAAAGAGATGTAGCATAGGTTGGCTGGCTGGACCTGCACTTAAAGCTGTGAGACCAAAGGGCAAGCATCTGCAAGCTACAGTTTGGATCTTAAATGTCCCAAGGCTTGGTCTTCCTCTATGGCAGAAACCTTAAATAGGTGTAGCCTAGTGAGAGTTTGGGATCATTGGGACCATTGGGATGTGCCTTGGAAGGGCATTGTGAGAACTAATCTCTTCCTCTCTTTTGCTTTCCAGTCTCCATAAAATGAACAATTTTGCTCCATGACACATTCTCCACCATGATGTTCTGCCTCACTACAGGCCCAAAAGCAATGGGACCAGTCAACCATGGACTGAAACTTCCAAAACTGTAAACCAAAATAAACTCTTAATAGTTTATGTGTTTTGTGAGAGTAATAGAAAGATAAACTGTACTTTATAAGTGAAATAAAACAAAACAGAAAAACAAATTGAAACTGAACCTTTAGCCATGACAGACATTGGGGTTATTGTGTCTGCATGCCATGGGCTTATGATAAGAAATTCTCAAAGGATGTTTTCATCTTTGTTTGTTCACTGAAATTAAGGTGGAAGCAAGGGTGCTTTTGGGTTTCAGCTTGGAATCCATGTTCTCACTCAATCTCAGCAAATAAACTGCACCCCTCAAACTAAAAATGTAATTCATCAGAAAAATAGAAAAATTCTAAACTTTAGTTTCCAGAAATATAAATTTAAAATACACAAAGCAAATGTCTCAGAACCAAAGAAAAATTGACAAGATTCCTACCATAGTGAGAGATTTTAAAAGATCTTCATCAATAATTTATAAAAGTTATAAATAATAAAAATGCAGATTTAAGCATTATGATTAGCAAGAAAAATCTAGAGATCTATGTATGGTATATTATTCTTAAAGCAGAAAAAAATTTTTGGTGCATTCATGGAAAACTGCAATATGTACTAAAATATGTACTGGGGCATAAAGCAAGTAGAAACATTTTTAGCAGTTGATATAACACAGGCAAATTGTATGCTGGTAAACTAGAGCTGTGGGAAAAGAAAGCATCCTGGTTGGTGATGGTGCCTATTTATATAGCATACATATTCCTACCATCACTGATTTCAAGCTACTAATGGTTAAGGAATTGATTTGCAGAATTACCAAATCTTTAATGGTCAACTCTTGTGAGTCAGTATGAGTTGACTGTTGCACTCTCTAACTATAAAAAATAAAGTTAGCTATTAATAAAAAGTATAGCTACCCATTCCCCATTCATTTGGATATTGAAAATATACTTCTCAAGTTCACATGTCAAAAAGGAATTATAACGGGCACTCCAACTGTATGATAAAAAAATGCTATATTGTAAAACTTGTGGAATGCAATAAAAATGTTCTTCAAGGGAAATTTGTACCCATAAATAATTAAATTTTAAAAAAGGAAAGGTTGAAGGCACATTAGCTAACAGTCAATTTAAACAAGCAATGCAGATGGACAACAGCAGAAAAACAATAAAACAAAACAAACACCAGGAAGAAGTCAAGGAAAATAGAATAATGGTGTAAGGGAAAGTGCAGGCATCATGAAAGACGACAAATACACTGCACCAATGGCAAATATTGTTTGGTTTACTGAAGTAGTATAACTGACAAACTTCCTACAATATGGATCAAATAAAAAGAAAACTCAAACAAAAAAATAATGTCAAACAACATTATGGATGTATCAGAAACTAAAACTATAAAACTCATATGAATAATTTTACAATACTATTTATTTATTTATTGCTAGGGATGGAACCCAAGGCCTCATGCATGTGGCCATATGCTTTACACTGAGTTGCATCCTTATCCAATGGCAATAAATTGTAAAACTGATTGCAGAAACAAATATTGCTGTGAAATTACCCTGCCAGGCAATGACTTCCAATGATAAATATTGATTACTGACCAGATGAGATAGCTTGTTCCTCTAGTCTCGGTGAGGCTTCCCCCTGTGTCTGGTCAGCTGGAGGTGGGTGTATGGCTCTGCTGACCGAAGCTGGGCTATGTTTCAAAGTGTTTCAGGGGCAGCGGGCTGCAGGGCGGCCTCAGCTGAGATGACTGTGCTGGTTGTTGTGGGGTCTCTTGACCCCCAGCGGGTTGTGCTTGAAGAGTTCGAAGACAGGTTTCAAAGACAAGATTCAACGATAGTGCACAGAAGCAGAGGCTTGCTGGGATCCAGTTCAAAGGAAGAACTGAATTCTAATGGCTAAGAAATTTACAAGGCTACTCCCAAATCAGTGTATACAACTTGGGAAATTAGTGAGACTCTGTTTCAAATAAAAAATAAAAAAGAACTGTAGATAGAGCTCAGTAGGAAGGCCCTGGGTTCAACTCCCTCTTACAACACACACACACACACACGCACACACACACACACACACACACACACGCACACACTCCACAAACAAACCCAAAAGGTGAAGAGTTAGATACATTTTCTTTGGTAAGAGGGCAGTGAATCCAGAGAAAACTGGAGAATTGTGAACATTTGGTAATCTACCACATCCTAAAATCATTAAAGATGTTGATTCAGCAGTTACAAAATCTTCTCACTCAGAAAATATTCAACCCAGATGCCTTTATTGGCAAGTGCTACCAAACATTTAAGGAACATACAAATCTAATCATATAGAATCATTTCAAAAATAATAAAAGAGGGACAATTCCATAGCTCATTCTCATGAGATTAGTAACACACAGACACCAAAACTAGATGAGAACAGTATGAAAGAAGAAAATTAGACTCAAATACACTAAGGATTATAAATACAAAATTCTAAGCAAAATTTAAGGAAGCCAAGTTTGTCAATGTCTTAAGAGAGGAGATGCATCATAACCAAGAAGGCTGCGTTCCAGGAAAGCAAGGTTGGTTCAACCTTGGAGAAATCTATCAATTTATTGCATTAATAAAATATAGGAAGTAAATCCACTTGATGAGAAAGCATAGAATAAGATTAACTAATAGAGTGAAAAGTCATTAGAAACAGTTAGAATAAAAGAAAATTTTCTTAAAAACCCAAAACTGTTACAAGAATCTCTAACCAAATGTCAGACTTAATGTTGAAGTGTTAAAAATATTTCTTTTAAAATTAGAATAAAGAAAAGACTAGCAATTATTTTATTCAACATTGTTTTGGAGGTTTTCACTTAGGCAATAAAATAAGAAAATTAAATAAATGTATAAATATCAGAAAGGAAGACACTAAACTCTCACCATTTACAAATTTTATATATGCTCATGTAGAAAGCAAATAAAATGTAAACACACATAATTATATACACAAATTTAGCTAGTTTGTAGAATACTAAAAGGGGCATTTGAAAGCTATAGTGAGTATTTAAATTAAAAAAAATGTCTTGCAGTTGAAGACACATTGCTAAGAACAATAGGATAAGTGTGTTTGAAATGTGAGAGGATTTTGAATATTTTGAGGCAGGTTAATAGCAATGTAACTTGGATGGTAATACATTTTAAAATTTAAACATTCACTGTAGGTTTTGATCATCCTTGTTGAGCAAGTGTTTATAATAATTTCTGTCAAATAAAAACATTGTGGTGTGTTCTCATCCACCTTATTCACCAGCTCGGGCAACATGAGACTTCTGCCTCTTTCTCAGAGTCAAAATGACCATGAAAAGTAAATGTTTTGAATCAAAGCAGGCATAGAGGCAGCCGCAACAGTGCAAGTAAGGACACAAAAGACTTCCAGAACTGCTTTTTGTTTCGATCATGCCGTATATATTTATATAATTACATCTCTCTACATCAGTAATACATAGAAAAGATAAGATTCTGTTTACAGTAGCAAAGTATCTGTTAGAGTTTTGACGTGGGACGTCCCTGGAGATAGCGGAAGCTGGAGGAGGCGGAGCCCGGTTGGAAGAGGTGGGTCACTGTGGGTGCGACTTTGAAGGGTGGATGGTATCCCTGACCTTTCTCCGTCTCTCTCTGTCTCTGTCTCTCAGTTTCTGGTTCTTTCCCCTGCCAAGACACGCAAGCAATGATTGACTTCCTCTGGTCAGCGCCTCCTGCCTCCCTGAACAGAAACAAATCTCTTCCCTCCACAAAGCACTTTTAATACCACCTGGCAAAAAGCTACCTCATTTATTGGTGTTGGGTGGTTATTGCCATCATTTTAGAAGATGGCACGGAATATAGGGAAATTTTCTATTGCTTTGTCACATACTAGTCCTGTGACCTGTCAAGGCAAGAGCTTCCGGGAGCCCTGGTGTTCTTGGTGGCTCCGAAAGAGCTATGGAAGGAAGAGAGACGGGGAAAGGAGGAAACAGCTTCAGGGGAGGGCACGACTGCCCAGTGACTGCTTCGGCTTGGTGATGATCATTGTTCATAAAGTGTAGCTGCTCATCTCTGGATTTGATTGCTCGTTAAAAGCTGAGTGTAATTCTCTTAATTAAAGCCAGGAGTTGGACTCATGAGAAAGAGAGATTGAGAACATCTGAAATTCTGAACTTAAAATAAAACTGTAAACAGATTATTTTTGTAAGAATAATTCTTTACATATTCACTGCAGAAAAATGTTCCATTTCTTCTTCAATTTTCTTTCTTTTTCTTTTTTTAAATTTGAGCCTGTGAAATTTTTTTCTGAACCCAGCAGGTCCACAAGTCAAGGTCTTTCTGCTTTATTACAAGGACCATCCTCCCTGTGTTCTAGCAGATGTTGGTGTTTGTAGTCACACTTGTGTGTTCTTTTGGTAGTACTGGAGATTGAACCCAGGGCCTTTGCACTGAGTTACATCCCCAGCCCTTTTTATTTTATTTTGGTACTAGATCTCATTAAATTGCTAAGTTGCCAAGGCTGGAATCAAACTTGAGATCTTTCTGCCTGAATCTCCTCTAGTCTTTAAAATTTTTTTAAAATTTGAGACAAGGTCTCACCTAGTAGCCCAAGTTGCCCAGGTTGGGCTAGAACTTTGATTGTCTTGCCTCAGCCTCCCATGAACCTTCTGCCAATAATAATAATAATAATAATAATAATAATAATAATAATAATAATAAATTTTGAGACAGATTCTAGTTAAGTCACTTAAATTTCCAGGGCTAGGCTCAAATTTGCTATCCCCCTGCCTCCGCCTCCCAGAGTTCTGGGATTACAGGTGTGCACCACCATAACTGGCTGCTCTCAGTTTTATATATATATATATATATATTTTTTTTTTAAATCTTTTTTTTTTTGTACAAATCAAAACCAGAAATTGAGAGACAGAGAGAGAGACAGAGAGAGACAGAAAAAGGTCAGGGATACCATCCACCCTTCAAAGTCGCACCCACAGTGACCCACCTCTTCCAACCGGGTTCCGCCTCCTCTTTTTTTGCTGGGAATCGGACTCAGGACCTTGCATTTGCCAGGCAGGCACCTGTGCCACTGAGCTATATCCCCTGCCCTTAGATATATTTTTTTTTACCTGCTCTTTCAATGATCTCACTTCTTCCCAAAGTGGGGAGGTTTGATCACCTGTTGCTTGAGTTTGCCAAAGCAGGTGCATTTTGCTTGTGATCAACACTTCTTTGCTTCAGGACTTCTCAGAGCCTCTGTATACAAATATGCATTGGGAAGCCCAGAGAGAAGATAGACTAATTGACATTTCTTGAATTTGTGTGACCTATTTTTTATCTACAGAATTTCCCAGAGGGTTACTGAGAAAATGCTCTTTTAGACACCTTTCTTTACGAAAGTGTTTTCCTTGGGAGCTTTTCCTTGTAAGTATAGTCTCCATACTTACAAGGCAAACAAACAAAGGAGAAGCAGAGGCAGTTGGGGTGGTAGGACAGCTGAAACTACGGTGGGGACAGAGCTACCATAGCAGATCCCACCATTCTGAGAAGACCATCTGAACTTGCCTTATTCGATTGCTTATAACCTAGTGACCTCACCCTGGGGGAGCAAGTTCTCTTGCCTGTTGTGGCTTCAGAGTCACTTTCTAGGCCCTGGGTCTCCTCTCCCTGCTCACAACAGCTGTCCTTCTTCTGATGTCAGTGTCACAGAGGCACCGGGTGGAGCTCTGTCTTCTCCTCCCTCAGGACTCAAGAGCCCGCCATCTTGTATGGGACTGGTCACTGGGGCAGCGCATGCAAGCCAGGTGGCCAGGGTGGGCTGGCTGACTATCTCTGGCCAGTGTGGAGTTGGGGGATTTTGGGAGGGCTAAAGGAAGGGCTTTTTCATTCTTCCCAAGAGTAGTGGTCATCTTGCTTCTCACTCACTAGCAGTAAGAAGTCAGCATTCTGAGGGGCATCTATTCACACATCTGACCAACTTTGACTGACCATTTAGACCAGTAGCTCTTAGCAGAGGGTGATGTGGCTTCTCGGGGGGACCCGGCAATGTCTGGAGACATGTGCATCCATGTCTGCACAGATGAAGGTCAGGCCAACAGGTAGGTAGAAGTCAGGGGTGTTACTAAACTGGAATGCCTAGGACACCCCAACACAGCAGTGAACCAACCAGCCTTCTATGTCAGTGGCGAGCCAGAAAAGACAGGGCTCAAACTGCTGGCTGCAAGGCCTAGCCAAGTCACTTCACTTAATTTTTCTACTTTTAAAAATAGCTAATGCCTACTTCACAGTGCTTAGCACAGTACAAAACACTTAAAATAGTGGTACTTTACTCTCACTGCTCTGTAAAAGGAGCTTGCAGGAGGGACAAGCAGTTGAAAGATGTAGCTACAACCTCACATGACAGGCAGAAAGGTGTGGGTAGCAAATGACTGGCAGAGTTTGCAGAAGACATAGAGCACAAGGGTGTAGCCCTTGGCAATATAGAACTGTGCCCAACAGATCTTTTTGGATGATGAATGAACTCCATACATGTGCCATGCACGATGACAACTACTCCACATTTGGTCACTGAACGCACTAAATGTGGCCAGGGGGAATGAGGACCTAAATGTCAAATATTTTACTTATTTTAGTGAGCTAAAATTAAGAAGGTGCACATGGCTAGTGGTCTTGTATTGGACAGAGCAAGATTAGGAGGGATGATGTTGCTACAGACCAAATAGTGAGGTGGATGGTATCAGACGGGGAACATCATAGTTAGGGGTACAGGGCTTGAGGGGAGAGGCTGGAATCTCCTGGAAAAGACCCTGGGAAAGGTTGATGCCAGGGTAGACAGGCTCTGGATGGCAGGAAATGGCCAGGAAATGAGAAAAAGAGGCAGAGGAAGGCATGTGGGGAGAAGAGAAGCCAAGAGGACAGAGTGAGTCTGCACAGATGAATGTCTGGCCAGCAGACAGAAGCACTGGACTTTCTGAATGCACGGATGTGAATTCAGACTGGTGGCATCAGACACAGTAGACGCACGTCAGGTTTTAAGCCCAGAACACCCAAACATAAAACGAGGAGGAGCGACTCGGAAGAAAAGAAATGTTCTTTTTATAGGATAAATTCTTAGCAAATCCGGAAGGAAGTGGAGGCTGTATCTCAAGCCCAGGTTTGTGACTTCAAGCACATTGTTTTTCTCTCTACCCCATGAGGGCACCAGCTCTGAGTGTGGATAAGGAAACTGTAGAATCTAGTAGAAGTCAGAACACTGAAAAATACAACCCTTGACAACTTGATGATTTGCCTTATGCTGCTCTGGTTTCTGGAATGCAGTGAATGAGGGGATATCACAGATGGGTGGAGGACGACTGGTACTGCAGCTCTCCTCCATCACAATCCAGTGTTACTGCAGACACCCAGAAGGTGCCTCACAATTTCCCTAGAACTCTATTAATTATCATACTATACCAAGCAGTACTTATTTAGTAGCTATTGGGGCTGGACAAAGAGTGGCAATTGCTTTGTAGATTTCATTCTTGGTAGAAGGGGGAAGAAGGAAACCTGAGGCTTGCAATGTTATTTGTTCCTGGAAAAGAATAATGTATCTGCTAATATAAGGAACATTTGCAAAATATGCCCAGTTGCAATTAAAATTTAATCTGCTTGTATAGACAAGTGGGCAGGGTGATCAAAATTACTGGGTGTGGTGAATGCTTAGATTAAGAAAAGAATTACTACAGTAAAAGACACACTGCCATTAATCCCCCTCAAAATACCTTCCCTCAAGCAGGAAATATCACAATCCCAGATTTAAAGTTATATTATAAAACTACAGTAATAAAAACAGCATGGTGCTGGCATGAAAACAGATGTGTGGATCAATGGAGGATATAGAATAAAGGGTAAAGAAGCAATCCCAGAAACATTCAGCTAACTGGAGAGAGAGGAAGAGAGAGGGAGAGGGAGAGGGAGAGGGAGAGATATTTTTTTGGACAGTGTTAGAGATTGAACTCATGACCTTTACACTAAGTTACAACCCTAGCTCTTTATTTTTAATTTTTTATTAAAAATATGGTCTTGCTAAGTCACTATGTTGCCCCAAGCTGGGATCAAACTTGTGATTCTCCTGCCTCAGCCTCCAAGAGTGCTGGGATTACAGGTGTGCATCAGAGAAATTACAGATTTTGAAAACTGAGGACATTACTCCTCAGTGGCCTTTCATAAAAGAGTTAAAATGACACTAGAAAAATAGAAGCTCAATGGTATTGTCAATATCAATCTGTGGATCACTTAATTCATGATTTTAATTATCTGGTATTAATACAGCAATTTTACAACTTCAAGGAAATTTTAAGAAAGCTCTATGTCTTTACTCCTTTAGGAGTTAAAATTTGTAGCATTTCACTCTGGCTAGATCCCAGCACAAGAGCTCCAGGTAACCCAGCTGCCACTTTTCACCTCCTGGGTTTACAAAACCTTCAGTCCTGTTCCTTCCCCAGGCACTTTGGATTAAATAAGATGTGTTTTCAAATTACTTCGTCTCTTAATTTTAAACCCTTGTTTATTTTAACTAAAATTTAATCCATATGTTTCTGATTCATTTACAC